ACAACAACAACAACAACAACAACAACAACTTTCACACATATTTGTTGAACATCCAGGGAGTTAACATATTGTTCACTTCTTTAATCCGGTGCATTATGCCATGTTATGTACAAGACTGATTGTTACACAATACAAAAGCACACAATGATCCCCTTGAGGAACATAGGAAATTGACATTTCAGTTTGAGGTCAAATGTGCACTCTGCAGTGAAGTCYGTCTTAAGTTTTCGACGAGGTGAGCACTATTTTCATCTACTTGTGYGGTGCAAACAACTGGCTTGATAAAAACTTCAACAAAAGCCCTATTCATGGTTCACTAACAGATGAACTAAGACATGGTGTTGAGTTCCAAWGAACCTGGCTCAGTGACTTGGAGACAGGAATAGTTATGGAGAATGTAGTGCTGAGCAGAGATTTTAAAGTGACCAGCCTTGACRGAGTCTTCCCCCTCTGTGTGGGGCCCTCCTGCCATCTGCAATCAGCTGTGAAAGAGCAAGCCTTGTGCTCCAAGTGTGTGTGTGTGTGTATACATGTTTTTGCTACCTCATAGGGACAATTTTAGACCATTTTGCTGGTACAAACAGCCTGGTGAAGACTCACTGTTCCATATGGAGACAAAAGCCTGGTCCCCATTGGGGGAAATAACGTTGGTGAGTCAGAGGTTAGATTTAGGACTAACGTGTGATGAACTGAGTTTAGGTTACGTTTCAGCTTAGGTATGGATCTGTGAGGTTAGGTTTAYGGTAAGGGGTCAGGTTTAGGCTATAGAAATGACGGGCAAATGAATGGAAGTCAATGCAAAGTCCCCATGAGGATAGAAGAACAAACGTGTGTCTGTGTGTGTGTATAGGTCTTTGCCAAAACACAGGAAACCCACAGGATGGAAAGAAGAATCCTGTATGAACCAGACGGTCAGTTAATCCTCTCTCTCTCTGCTGCAGACAGAGGGGGAGGAGACAATCAACAACAACATGTTGATGCGCTGACGCAACTAATCCCACACTCCGACAACTGAGACGTCTTGACAGAGGGACCCTTAAGGTCATTCCATACTCCATTAAACCTGAAGAAATCATCTCTCATTAATGTAACTGCGTGATTCAAGTGTACTTTTAGTTWAAAAAAACTTTAAAAAAGTGTACTTTTAGTAGCTTCATCCACCTCCTTCTCGAAACAAGACACTGTCTAAATTTTCCAACACAGGAGTATGTACAAAGTGTAGTATGATTGGTCAGAAGTTTCTGGGCAAGTTTGTTTATGAGGAAAAGCTCTCCAACAGCCATGGTGTCATTTTGCTTCAACTTTTGGAAACAGTCCAAAGGCCAAGAACTCCTGGACCGAGGTAGCACAGACATTGTGTACGGAGGAGTCCTTAAGCAGGCAGTACAGTCGCTCAGCAGCCGACTGGTTGAGGCGCTGTCATGTGGTTGTTTGGCGTTCGTTTTCGCAAAGACCTTTCATAGTACCTGAGACACCCCGAGCTGAGCTCCTGGTAAACCCATCCCGCTGCAGCATACGTGTGGGATGGGATTCCTTCCCAGGGGAGTGCAATGC